GCAGGCCGACGCTCTATCCACTGAGCCAAACCGGTAAGGCGCGCCCCGTTGCCTTTTAAACTTATGGATACACAGGTCCAGGGTAGTAGGTGAAAGATGTCTTTTTTAAAAAAATTTTGATTAAGTTATTACATATGTGTCCTTATCCCCACATTACCCCTATCCCCCCCACTCATGCCCTCAGCCCCCTGTTGTCTTTGTCCATTGGTTAGTCTTATATGCTTGCATACAAGTCCTTTGGTTGATCTCTCCCCCTTACCCCCACCCTCCCCTGCCTTCCCTCTGAGGTTCGATGGTCTGATCAACACTTCGCTGTCTCTGGATCTGTTTTTGTTCATCAGGTTATGTTGTTCATTATATTCCACAAATGAGTGAGATCATGTGGTATTTATCTTTCTCTGACTGGCTTATTTCACTTAGCATAATGCTCTCCAGGTCCATCCATGCTGTTGCAAATGGTAAGAACGCCTTTTTTACCGCAGCATAGTATTCCACTGTGTAGATGTACTATAGTTTTTTAATCCACTCATCTGCTGATGGGCACTTAGGCTGTTTCCAAATCTTAGCTCTGGTGAATTGTGCTGCTATGAACATAGGGGTGCATATATCCTTTCTGATTGGTGTTTCTAGTTTCTTGGGTTATATTCCTAGAAGTGGGATCACTGGGTCAAATGGGAGTTCCATTTTAAAGTTTTTTGAAGAAACTCCATACTGTTCTCCACAGTGGCTGCACCAGTCTGCATTCCCACCAGCAGTGCACGAGGGTTCCTTTTTCTCCACATCCTCGCCAGCACTTGTCGTTTGTTGAGAAAGATGTCTTTAGGGGGCCATTGCTCTGCCTACCCCTTCATTCTCAGCCCATGGGCTAGATCATCGGCCCGTGAGCTATGTAATAATGTGACTTCCAAATTGACTTCGTCCACAGTTGATGTGAGTTCCACACGGAATTCCATTGAGCTCCTTTGTGCCCGAGATCGGAGGGGCACATGGAATCCGGCTGTCCCTCTCATCCTGCGGTTGGCATTGCACTGTCTGCATTCATAGCGGAGCACATGCGAGAATATGACCCACTATTTCCCAAACTCATTTGCAGATCATGTCAACTTGGAAAACTTCATTTTTTTTTTTTTGGTCTTCTGATCTACTTGACGTTGGGTAGAAGCTTCTGTTATTCAGGTAGTCTTAACTAGATAGTCTCCCCAAAATCACTTGTTGAAAAAAATGCATAAATAGCCCTGGCGGAATGGCTCAGTGGTTGAGCATTAACCCATGAACCAGGAGGTCTGGGTTCGATTCCTGCTTAGGGCACATGCCCAGGTTGCAGGCTCGATCCCCAGTAGGGGGTGTGCAGGAGGCAGCCCATCCATGATTCTCTCTCATCCCTGAAGTTTCTGTCTATCTCTCCCTCTCCCTTCCTCTCTGACATCAATTAAAATATATATTTTTTAAAAAGCATAAATACTACAGTAAATATGACGCTTTCTGTTGAAAAAGACCTGCAGCCGCTTGACGAAATAGGTCTGGGAAGGGTTGCAGCTTGAGCTGAGGAGTGGGAAGGAGGGCGATCTGAACTGGTGGGGGAAGTTGCCACGGCAGGTGTGGGTGCGGGTGGCTGCTGTCGCGAGGGGGTGTATTGGGAGCATTTCTCAGTGTCTGTGTAGCTGGGTGCGGTCTTCTGCTTGCTCAGTTCAGGATGAGAGGCGGTGGCAAAGCAAATGCAAAATTCATGTTGCGCTCCAGTTGTTCCTGCTACATCAGTCCCTGGGACGGATTTTGCCTTTGGAAAACCAACATTGTAGCAGCGCTGGCGGTCCCAGGTTCTCCCAGGTTCTGCGAAGGACCCGCCTGGGCACACGGCACCGATTGCTTTCCTTCCCATGGAAGGCACGTGCCAGGCTGCCTCTCAGGTTGAACACTCAGAACTCTGCACCCGAAACACAGACATTTCCCCACTTGTAGTTCTTAGAGACGTGCAAAGCTTCTGTTTACTCAAGGAGCTCCTGGAGGAGCCCAGCCGGTGTGGCTCAGTGGTTGAGCGTCAGTCTATGAACCAGGAGGTCATGGTTCGATTGCCAGTCAGGGCACAGGCCCGGGTTGCGGGCTGCAGGCTCCATCCCCAGTGTGGGGTGTGCAGGAGGCAGCCAATGAGTGATTCTCATCATTGATGTTTCTATCTCTCTTTCCCTCTCCCTTCATCTCTGAAATCAATAAAATATATTTTAATTTTTTAAAAAAATACATTTCTTTTATTGGTTTCAGAGAGGAAGGGGGAAGGAGAGAGAGATAGAAACATCAATGATGAGAGAGAATCATTGATCGGCTGCCTCCTGCACGCCCCCTACTGGAGATCGAGCCTACAACCCAGGCATGTGCCCTTGGCCGGAATCGAACCTGGGACCCTTCAGTCCGCAGGCTGACGCTCTATCCACTGAGCCAAGCTGGCCAGGGCAATAAAATATATATATTTTTAAAAATATATTTTTTTAATATATTTTATTAAAATATATTTTTGCTGACCGGTGCCGGTCAGCAAAACAAGGAAGGACACCAAGAAAGAGTCCAGCAAGTGGGAAACGGGGTGGCTGGGGGTGGAGGGAATCCCCGGGGGGCAGCTGGGCACTGGCCGGCAGGGCCCAGGTCAGACAGGCCTGGGAGAGGCGAGGCAGGAAGATGAAGTGGATCCTGCCCTCGAGGTCTCTGACCTCGTGGGATTTAGGTTGTTAGCCAAGTGTTTAGACTGGAATTTGTATTGAGTGTTTAGAACACTTAGCAGATGAAAAGATAGGATCATTTCCTCCCGGGCAAACAAACCCCAAAGAATGGTGCATAAAAGGGAAATACTATAAACTTGCTTCACGTTGACTAGACGGGCTCAGCTCTGAGCAGCCTTTACACAGGTGCATGGGGCACTCATATTTGGTTAGAATGTTGATCGATATTGGGGTGAAGGCCGGAGGAGGTCGGGAGGTTGCATACGAAGCAGGTGATGAGACAGGGAGGAAATAGAGTTAAGTCCTCATCTTCATAGCGAAGAGTCACCACGTGATGCCTAGATAAGAAATCAAGATGAACCCGTAGAAACATTAGCTAGAGGCTCGAAGATAAATATCAAAAAACCATGTTAAGAGTTGAAATTGGCCCTAGCTGGTTTGGCTCAGTGGATAGCGTGTCGGCCTGCGGACTGAAGGGTCCTGGGTTCGATTCCGGTCAAGGGCACATGCTCGGGTTGTGGGCTCGATCCCCAGTGGGGGGCATGGAGGAGGCAGTCGATCAATGATTCTCTCTCATCATTGATGTTTTTCTCTCTCTCTCTCCCTTCCTCTCTGAAATCAATAAAAACATATTTTTAAAAAAAAGAGTTGAATGCCTCTGGACTGTTTGTTATAAGGCTTACAGAGTGATCTGAATTTTTAAAGCAACATGCACATGTAACTTTAATAAACATAAATAATTAAATATAATATTTAGCAGAAAAGAGTTCACATAGCAAGACGGAGACAAATTTCTAAGGAGCATATAAGATTCCCCTCATATAGGAAAACCGCCTGCTTGCATGGTGGCCGCTGGGAACTTAGCTTTAGCCAAGGTCCCCTCCACCCCCTCATGGGAGGGCCTCACTGTGTGAACAGCGTGCTTGATGCTCGGTGCCTGTGCGTCTGGTATGTGCCAGGCAGAAGGTAACTACGTCACCAGCGCCCCCCCCCCAACCCCCCCAGGCACTGAGTCTCTAATGAGCTTCCTTGGTAGACAGCCAGCACCTCACACGCCTTGTCACAGCTCATTGCTGGGGGAATTGAGCGCGACCTGAGTGATCCCCTGGGGAAAACTCTTGGAAGCTGGCATGGGATCCGCCCGTGCGCCTTTCCCCTTGGCTCACTGGGCTCTGTGTCCTCTCGCTGCGATAAGTCTTAGCCGTGAGAACAGCTGTCTGTAGTCCTGGCCAGTCATCAAATATGCTTTAGAATTTATATATATTCTAAATATATATAAATACACACACACACACACACACACACACACACACTCTAAGTGGCCAGATTATTATGACCACCCCATCAGTACAATGAAGTAAATTAGTTATGCAAATAATAATAATAAAACCGTGAGAGTATTTGCTTAGGAAGTTTTCAATATTCAGTATTTTTGCAAGTGTCAATGAAGTACTGATGGGGTGGTCATAATAATCTGGCCGGTCATCATAATCTGGCCACTCAGTGTATATTTCTATTGATTTCAGAGAGGAAGGGAGAGGGAGAAAGAGATAGAAACATCAATGATGAGAGAGAATCACTGATCGCTGCCTCCTGCACGCCCCCTACTGGGCATTGAGCCCGCAACCCAGGCATGTGCCCTGGACTGGAACCGAACCTGGGACCCTTCTATCTGCAGGCTGACGCTCTATCCACTGAGCAAAACCGGCTAGGGCAGTGGTTCTCAACCTGTGGGTTGTGACCCCTTTGGCGGTTGAATGACCCTTTCACAGGGGTCGCCTAAGACCATCCTGCATATCAGATATTTACATGACGATTCCTAACAGTAGCAACATGACAGTTATGCAGTAGCAACGAAAATAATGTTATGGTTGGGTCACAACATGAGGAACTGTATTTAAAGGGCCAGAAGGTTGAGAACCACTGGGCTAGGGCAAATCCTCGTGAGTATTAACAGACGGCATTTTTCTCCTAGCGTGGAGATCGGTGAAAGCGTGAGAGGGGAGGATGTGTACATCATCCAGAGCGGCTGCGGGGAGATCAATGACAACCTGATGGAGCTCCTCATCATGATCAACGCCTGCAAGATCGCGTCGTCGTCCCGGGTGACCGCCGTGATCCCATGCTTCCCCTACGCCCGCCAGGATAAGAAGGACCGGGTACGAGAGCTGCGCACTGGGTTAACGCTGACATTTTTTTTTCTTCTCACATTGCCTTTAGTGGTTCTCAACCTGTGGGTCGCGACCCCTTTGGGGGTCAAACGACCCTTTCACAGGGGTCGCCTAAGACCATCAGAAAACACATATATAATTACATATTGTTATGTTCAATTTGTAATAATGAAATTGGGGGTCAGCACAACATGAGGAACTGTATTAAAGGGTCGTAGCATTAGGAAGGTTGAGAACCACTGCTTAGAACAGCGGTTCTCAACCTGTGGGTCGAGACCCCTTTGGCGGTCGAACGACCCTTTCACAGGGGTCACCTAAGACCATCCTGCATATCAGATATTTACATTACGATTCATAACAGTCATGAAGTAGCAACAAAAATAATTTTATGGTGGGGTCACAACATGAGGAACTGTATTTAAAGGGCCAGAAGGTTGAGAACCACTGGCTTAGAATATCTAGAACATGTTTGCCTTCTATTTTAATGATCGAGTAAACATGCTTTTTCACCTTGGCTTTGGCAAAGTTTGTCTTTGACCCAGCCATCGTGTTAATGGTTATAGATAGGGAAACAGATAAGGCATATTTTTGCAGGTATTAAGATACCATTACAGGCCAATAGCAGTGATTTTCAACCTCTTTCGTCTCAACGGCACGCATAAACTAATTACTAAAATGCAGCGGCACCCCGAAAAACATATATTTTGCTCATCTGACAAAAAATAGGCAACCTTTTTTTTTTTTTTTAAATAGGCCTACTTTTGATTCACTCCCACGGACGGCTGTTGTGAAGGCTGCATGGTCTCTGTGGTAACTACTTACTCTGGTTACATATCAGGCAGTGACAGACAATAAAATGATTGGCGTGGCTGGATTCCAATAAAACGTACTTCTGGGCCCTGAAATGGGAATTTCATGTAACCGTCACATGCCATGAAATGTTCTGATTTTTTTCCAGTTATTTAGCCATCTAAAAACCACGATTAGCTCACAAGCAATACCAAAACAAGTGGCGGGCCGGATATGGCCCGAGGGCCATAGTTGCGGACCCGCGGATTAGAGCATCCATTGGTTGTGTGTGTGCCTGTCACATCATGAGTAGCTTCGGCTCAGGGCAACCAGACCCTTAGGACTTACATGCTGCTGTGAAGCATATAACCTCCCACTTATTATTTATGGAGCTTCTTTTTTTTAAAAAAAATATTTTTATTGATTTCAGAGAGGAAGGGAGAGGGAGAGAGAGAGAGAAACATCGATGAAAGAGAAGCATCAACATCGATAGGCTGCCTCCTGCATGCCCACACTGGGGATCAAGCCTGAAACCTGGGCATGTGCCCTGACCGGGAATCGAACCGGGACCTTCTGGTTCATAGGTTGATGCTCAACCACTGAGCCACATGGGCTGGGCTATGGAGCTTCTTTTATTCTAGACTTTTTTTTAAAATATATTTTTATTGATTTCAGAGATGAAGGGAGGAGAGAGAGATAGAAACATCAGTGATGAATCATTGATTGGCTGCCTCCTGCACGCCCCTACTGGGGATTGAGCCTGCAACCCGGGCATGTGCCCTGACAGGGAATAGAACCCGGGACCCTTCAGTGCGCAGGCCGATGCTCTGTCCACTGAGCCAAGCCTGCTAGGGCTCTTCTAGACTTGATTTGCAAGTTTTATGTGCATTTTCAGTTGCTGAATTTCAGTCTGTTAGTTCTGTCCCATCAGTGTAGTCTGTTGCTTCAGATCCTCCTCCCGTCTGTGCTCCCACGGGATGGTTTAGCACCACATCCTGCCAGTGTCACAACGGAACTAATATTCTGCTACTGGTCTCCCCTGTGGCAAGAGGCTTAGTGAACTTACTCTGTAATTTGTAGTCTGGTCCTCCTTTCACCTCTAGTAGCTTTTGAACTTGGGGCTAACATATTTGATAATTGTGTCTTCTTCAGTGATTCCTTTTATCATCGCAGGGCCCTTTCCCACCGATTTGTAACCGAACGTCTTCTTTCACTGATCAAAATATTGCGACTCCCACATTCTTTGGTTTGCAAGTATCCAATTTGCCACTGTTTCCCAGGTCGTACTTTCAAACCTTGTTTCTTATGTGCATTCATAATGCAGTCTTTGTTGTACAGAGAAGCGGGCATCGCCTGGTCTCCTGCCTCGGGCTGTGATGCGCTCCTGGCCTCTGGCTTGTCATGGCCAGCAGCGGCCCTTGTGCTGTGCTGACAAGAGGAGCCCCACAGGCCGGCGTGGCTCAGGGGTTGAGCATCGACCTATGAACCAAAAGGTCACCTGTTCGATTCCCAGTCAGGGCACATGCCTGGGTTGCAGGCTCGATCCCCAGTAGGGGGCGTGCAGGAGGAGGCAGCCAATCCATGATTCTCTCTCATCATGGATGTTTCCATCTCTCTCCCTCTCCCTTCCTCTCTGAAGTCAATACAAATATATTTTTGAAAAGTAAAGAAAAAGAGTCCCACAGAATCCTGCAAACTCTGGTGGCTTTGTTCTGGGGAACCGCGTCTGGCGCCTTCTGTCCCTCATGTGGGGCATGTACATGGGTTTGCTGTTTGGAGCCATTTTACCCATTTTTTTTCCCTCCCCTTCACCCTTTCTTCATTGCTGTGCTGTACTTGTGTTTCCTGTTAGAGCAGCGGTTCTCAACCTGTGGGTCGCGACCCCTTTGGGGGTCGAACGACCCTTTCACAGGGGTTGCCTAAGACCATCGGAAAACACATATATAATTACATATTGTTTTTGTGATTAATCACTATGCTTTAATTATGTTTAATTTGTAACCATGAAAATACACCCTGCATATCAGATATTTACATTATGATTCATAGCAGTAGCAAAATTACAATTATGAAGTAGCAACGAAAATAATTTTATGGTTGGGGGTCACCACAGCATAAGGAACTGTATTAAAGGGTTGTGGCATTAGGAAGGTTGAGAACCACTGTGTTAGAGAAACTAGTAGAAAAGAAGGCATCATGGAAGGCTATACGAATTGCCTGTTGCGGCCATTATCAATTGCCTCAAACTGGGTGGACTAAAACAACAAGTATAGCCTGGCCGGTGTGGCTCAGTGGTTGAGCATCGACCTATGAGTCAGGAGGTTAAGGTTCGATTCCCAGTCAGGGCACATGCCTGGGTTGTGGGCTCGATCCCCAGTAAGGGGCGTGCAAGAGGCAGCTGATTCATGATTCTCATCATTAATTTTTCTCTCTCTCCCTCTCCCTCTCCCTTCCTCTCTGAAATCAAGAAAAATATATTTAAAAAAAACACAAAAACCTCAGAAATATGTTCTCTCCCACTCCCGAGGGCAGAAGTGGAAAATCAAGGTGGGGCAGCGCTCCGTCCAGCGGCTCCAGGGCAGGGTCCTGGCCTGCTCCAGCTTCTGGCTTCAGGCCACGTCAACTGCCACCCCTGCTTCCATGGTCACGTGGCCTTCTCCTTTGTCTCCATCACATCTCCCTCTTAAAGGGCCCATGTGATAGCACCCCCGCCCTGCAGGGTAACTGCCCTGTCTCAGAACCCTTCATCCCTCCCATCTGCAAAGACCCTCTTTCCAAGGAAGGTAGTGGTCCCCCAGGTTCCAGGGGTTGGGGCCTGATGTCTTCGGGGCCTGTTGGAGGAAGTCCCTGGTGTGTTAATAAGTGGACATTCTAAGGCAGTTCAAGCTTTGAGATGGCATCATTATTACACCATTTATCATCTTAGCCAGGACACTTGAGAGCTGGGAGGGAGCTCTATGAATAATTAAACCAGGACACAAGCGTCCACCCCGCCTGTTCCTGGGGATTCTGACACACGGCCACCCTTCTGTGGGCCTCTAGCTCTGGGATTGACCTTGGAGCTGGCCAAGACGTACAGATTGTTCTGGTACCATTACTGTCATGTCTGTGTGGTCAGTGTGACTCATCCTATATAATAAAGAGCTAATATGCTAATTAGACCTGACGGCGGAATGACCTTCCAGAACAACCAGTGGGTGGGGGTCGGGAGGCAGCCAGGGCTGGGAGGCAGCCGGGACCACCACCCTCTGTGGGGCGATCGATACGGGAGAGGGCTCCACCCACAGAGGGTGGTGGCAGCTGGGTCTCCGAGGGCCGAGCCCCTTGCATGAATTTCGTGCATTGGGCCTCTAGTGTCACAATAAGTAGGGAGACAGTTTCATTCTTTCACCAAACTGGTCAAAAGGGTAGTTCTTAATTTTGTCTGTCATTTGAGGTATGCCTTTGCATTTTTACTTATTTATTTTTTAAAATATATTTTTATTGATTTCAGAGAGGAAGGGAGAGGGAGAAACATCAGTGATGAGAGAGAATCATTGATCAGCTGCCTCCTGCATGCCCCACACTGGGGATGGAGCCCGAAACCCAGGCATGTGCCCTTGACTGGGAATCGAACCCTGACCTCCTGGCTCATCGGTCGATGCTCAACCACTGAGCCATGCTGGCTGGGATCTTTTTTATTTTTTAACTGAAAGAATTGAGGACCATTGTCCGGACACACATTTCTGCAATCTCGTCTATTTTTCAAGGATGTCAAATTTATACTTTTAGCGGGTTGACATCTGCTACGTTGAATAAGATCTGAATAGCCGGGGAGTCTTTTCTTATGGTTGCACTGGCCCACAAAACGTTTGGCCTTTATCCATTTTTCATAGAGTAGGCGAGCGTTTTCTTCTTGATGACTGTACTGTTGAAATGTCAGAGGCATTTTTCTTTTTATTGGCTGTAAAGTCAGTTCACGTGTAAGTCGTTTTTCCTGCGAGATTCAGTTGGGTATGAGGCCAGATTATGAAAAGCAGCGCAGAAGCCAAATTCATCAGCGAGGTCGCGTGGTTTGGATCTCAGAAGTAACTAATTCGCGATGCCACTGAGCGAGATGAATGGAGGAGTCCTTTGGCCGCTTATAAAATGAGCCCCAATGGAAGCGCCCCAAATGGACTAGTGTTGCGGGTCAGCAGCTATTATAATGAAGTCCCAGTGATCAATTGACCCTTTTAAATATCCCGAGATTTTGTTAAGCAATAATTTTCAGTCAGTGAGGCTAATGGGGAAGCCTTGGAAGCGTGGTGTTATAGAGATTCCACTATGAAGTATTTATCAAAAATACATATCGGCCCTGACCGGTGTGGCTCAGTGGATAGAGCGTCGGCCTGCGGACTGAAGGGTCCCGGGTTTGATTCCAGTCAAGGGCATGTACCTTGGTTGTGGGCACATCCCCAGTAGGGGGTGTGCAGGAGGCAGCTGATCGATGTTTCTAACTCTCTATCCCTCTCCCTTCCTCTCTGTAAAAATCAATAAAATACATTTAAAAAAAAACACATATCGTATGCAAGGTACAGAGCTATGTACTGTAGGTAATGTGAACATCTCCAAAACCGGTTCTTTGTCCTTGGGGACCGCATAGACAGAGAACTCTGACATCCGTATACATGACATCCTCTCATGTCAGTCTCTCAGCAGGCGGTCCTCAGTGCTGGGGGCCAGATGCATAGCTGGTGCCCTGTCCCTTTATTTGTTTATTTTTTAGAAAGGATATATTGATTAATTTTATTTATTTTTTATTTATTTTTTATTTTTTTTTAGAGAGAGTGGAAGGACGGGGGAGAGACAGCGAGAGAGAAACATTGATGTGAGAGACACATGGATTGGTTGCCTCCCATACTCACCCCGACCAGGGCCGGGTATTGAGCCTGCAATCAAGGTACATGGCCTTGACTGGAATCGAACCCAGGACCCTTCAGTCTGTAGGCCGACGCTCTATCTATTGAGGCAAACCAGCTAGGGCTGCCCTGTCCCTTACAGTGGTTCTCAACCTTCCTAATGCCGCAACCCTTTAATACAGTTCCTCATGTTGTGGTGACCCCCAACCATAAAATTTTCGTTGCTGCTTCCTGTTATGAATCGTAATGTAAATATCTGATATGCAGGATGTATTTTCATGGTTACAAATTGAACATAATGAAAGCATAGTGATTAATCACAAAAACAATATGTAATTATAGATGTGTTTTCCGATAGTCTTAGGCGACCCCTGTGAAAGGGTCGTTCGACCCCCAAAGGGGTCGAGACCCACAGGTTGAGAACCGCTGCTTTAGAAGGAACAGATCATTTCTTTCCGGCGTCCTTAGAGCGCCTCACAGGGGATTTGAACCAGATCTGGAGATGAAGCACATTGGCTCAGCAGGGATGGGGCGGAGTGGAGGGGTGGCAGGTGTGCGGGTGTAGACAGCACGGAAGTGGCCTCCAGAGGGAGAGCAGGCCTCGGATACAGTGCAGGGGGCACCCAAGTGGCAGGGGCACGTGTGTGGAGGCCCAGCTCTCAGCAGCGAGAGCCAGGCTGACCGTGGAGCAGAACAGGGGAGTGAACAGTGAAGACTGGAATGATAATATGCAGTTAGTTGAAAACGTTGAAAAACGTTAAAAAATGGCAAATAATCTCACCATCTAGAAGCGTCTCCTATTAATATTTTGGCGCACATTCTCCAAGTCTTTGTGTGGAAAAAAAATTGTGTGTGTATATATATTTGTATATATACTTATATTATTTTAAAGTAATGTTTCTCTTTCTAAAAAGAAGAATGGTGTATTAGAGAAAATACAAATTATCTGTTAACATTGTGATGTAATTCCTGTCTGCGTGTTTTTGCATGAATATACTCTGTGTGTGTGTGTGTGTGTGTGTGTGTGTGTGTGTTTAACAGGGGTCATTTTTTTTTTTACTCTTGTGAATGAAGTCTTTTTCAGCTTTATTGAAATATAAATGCCATATAACAGTGTGTCAGTTTGAATGAAATCTTGTAAGCTTATGTTTTCTTTTTTGTGGCTCGTAATAGGAATACTATTGTTTACAGCAAAACGCTGGACTTTTTTTTCTAGGTCTAATCACGTCTGTTTAGTCTCTTGGATTTTTTTATGTGGACAGAGTGATTGTCCATAGTTTATAACGTGGCCGCTGAAGCTCTGGAGAAGTCGGGTCACTTTTAGGATACACAGTCCGTAAACCAAAATGCATCTGCTTCTCTACATGTTACATTATTAATCATCTTGAGAGGTTCTGTCATCTGCCTGTTGTTGTTTTTTTTTAATATATTTTATTGATTTTTTACAGAGAGAAAGGGAGAGGGATAGAGAGCTAGAAACTTCGATGAGAGAGAAACATTCATCAGCTGCCTTCTGCACACCCCCCACCGGGGATGTGCCCGCAACCAAGGTACATGCCCTTGACTGGAATCGAACCCCGGACCCTTCAGTCCGCAGGCCAACGCTCTATCCACTGAGCCAAACCGGTTTGGGCCATTATTAATCATCTTGAGAGGGTCTGTCATCTGCCTGTTTTTTGTTTAATTTGTAACATTAAACATTAGCTCCCAGCGACAGAACATAAACTTCTTTAGGAGGTGGCCTTGGCCTTCAGGGCTGTGCAGGGAGTAGCCCTGCCTCCCCGGCTGGCCAGCGTTCACACTCTCCCCTGGGCCACTGCCTGTGACCACATTGGACTTCGTTCAGTTCCTGGATGTGATCTGTGAGCCTGGGTGATGTCACACAGGCTGCTCTTCCTGGAACACGCGTCTCCCTGCCTCTGCCAGCCTTAAAAGCGGCTTCCTCGGAGGGCCTCTGACAACCAGCCTCCTTGAACTTGATGTCCTTCATGCTGTCTCTCTGGGTACCTGTTCTACGCACTTGTCACGATCTGAATTATTCAAATTATGCTATCGCACTGCACAGTTGAATTATTGGCTTCTTTGACATTTAAAAAATATTTTTATTGATTTCAGAGAGGAAGGGAGAGGGAGGGAGAGAGAGAAACATCAATGATGAGAGAGAATCATTGATCGGCTGCCTCCTGGACGCCCCCTACTGGAGATTGAGCCCACAACCCGGGCCTGTGCCCTGAACAGGAATTGAACCGTGACCTCCCGGTTCACAGGTTGACCTTCAACCACAAAGCCATGCCAGCTGGGTGACATTTGTTCTCTATACCCCGTGTCAAGCACATTGTTTCGCAACAGTATATGAAAATAGTAAATATTTGGTGAACTGAATGGGATGAATACTTTTTGTTGTTATAACATGTAGTTTTCTTCATTATTATTAATGGAATAATTTAATAGTTTCAAATTGTGGTTAATTTTCTTTACTACCATGTTATAAATCAGCTGTGAGTTAGCCTTCTCATGGAAACCTTGTGGGAGGAGTCTGAAGGTAGCCGTCTCTTTTCCTGTTATAACGTCCATGTCTTTATGTTTCAGAGTCGTGCTCCGATTTCTGCGAAACTTGTGGCCAATATGCTGTCGGTCGCTGGCGCAGACCACATCATCACCATGGATCTGCATGCTTCTCAGATTCAGGTTCTGGCATTTTCTTTCTTGCCCTTGGTTGTCATTGGGGGCTTAAGGCAAGTGCTTAAATCAGGGGTCCTCAAACTTTTTAAACAGGGGGCCAGTTCACTGTCCCTCAGACCGTTGGAGGGCCGGACTATAGTTTAAAAAAAAACTATGAACAAATTCCTATGCACACTGCACATATCTTATTTTGAAGTAAAAAAACAAAACGGGAACAAATACAATATTTGTATTTGCATGTGGCCCGCGGGCCGGAGTTTGAGGACCCCTGGCTTAAATCCTAACTGTTAAGGTAACTAATTTCTGAAGGAGGTAACGTGACTCGTGTTGGAGTTTGTCTATGGCGACTCTCTTGGCTTTTCATCTGTACTGAATTGGAAATAGAATTTCATGCTGATATGGCTGTCTCCAGCACCCCCGTGTCTCCCGTCCATTCTGGAGGAGTGGGAATGTCTTCCTGGTAGTAAATGCTCTAATTCCATCTCAACTCCGGGGAAATCATTAGAATGGCAGAGCCGTAATGTGTGTTTGTTAACCTCTTCGTAGCTTAGTTCCTTCATCTAGCAAAGTGGCCCATGTGTCCTGTGCCTGCTCTGTGATATAATGAGTGTGACGTATGTGGAGCTTATCAGAAGGAACTTAAGAAGCAACAAACCTCCCCCACTGCGCTGCACCTGTTCTGTGTTCCTGAGAATATAGGCGATCAGAAGGGGATAGAAGTGTCCCCCACAGGAAACAGATGGGACTGAAATATGCTCCTGGAACATAAGTGTCTTTTGATTTAATTCTGTTAAAATGAAGAAAAGGGAGTCTGTTGATAAGGCTTCCTTTGGATAAAAAATTTAAGTTTTAGCCCTAGCCGGTTTTGCTCAGTGGATATCGAGCGTCGGCCTGCGGACTGAAGGGTCCCAGGGTCAATTCCTGTCAAGGGCACAGGCCCGGGTTGCGGGCTCGATCCCCAGTAGGGGGCGTGCAGGAGGCAGCCGATCCGTGATTCGCTCTCATCATGGATGTTTCTCACTCTCTCCCCCTCCCTTCCTCTCTGAAATCAATAATAAATATATTTTTAAAAATTCAACTTTTATTTAACGAAGATCATCTTTTCAAAAAGCACGCCCCTGACACTCACTTCTCCCGCAGGGCTTCTTTGACATTCCTGTGGATAACTTGTACGCGGAGCCCGCGGTCCTGCAGTGGATTCGGGAGAACATCGCCGATTGGAGGAACTGCATCATCGTGTCCCCGGACGCGGGTGGAGCCAAAAGGTAGGCACGGGCCGCAGCACGCAGGTGTCTGCGTTCTCCGATGGCTTCTCCCTGTTCCTGAGCCTCAGCTAAGGAAGCGTGTTCGAAATGCAACATAGGGTGTCCCAAAATTCACGCAAGAAGTAATTTTGATAGAAAACACAGGTTTATAATGAAAAACTGTAAATTTGTTATTGAGTCATAAAGTATACAGTATAGGGTTATGTATGGAATAGCACATCGGGTCAATGGCCTCCACGGCTTTGTTGGCACATACGCAAAGCTGTAGTCTTCATTGGTCTTCATTGTCCCTGCTCCTGGGCCATCATTGGTACTTGGTAATGCTTATCAAATTGAAGGGATTGAAATCAAAGGGCAACAGATATTAGAATCTGATTCAATAAACCAAGTAAAATTAGGCTTTTATTTTTTGTTGTTGTTGTTAATGCTCATGCAAAATTCAAATCTTGCATGAATTTTGGAACACCCTATACTTTATTTTGCAAATGAGTAGGTAAGGAGCAGCAGGCTTCACCTCCGGAGCAGAACACTGTCCTCTTTGTCAACATTTCATCACTCGTGAGAGAAACGAAATTCATACACTTGTATTTGTTTTCAGCAAAGAGTAGGTCTTGTGTTTTTAATAAGGTGTTTTTTTTCTGATTATAAAAGGAATAGCCTAGCCCTAGCTGGTTTGGCTCAGTGGATAGAGCGTCGGCCTGCGAACTGAAAGGTCCCGGGTTCGATTTTGGTCAAGGGCACGTGCCTGGGTTGCAGGCTTAATCCCCAGTGTGGGGCGCGCAGGAGGCAGCCGATCCATGATTCTCTCTCATCATTGATGTTTCTCTCTCTCCCTCTCGCTTCTTCTCTGAAATCAATAAAAATCTACATATATAAAAGCCTAAGTGACCAGCTGACTGGCTGACTGGCTGGTAGCTATGATGTGCATTGACCACCAAGGGGCAGATGCTTAACGCAGGAGCAGAAACCACTGGCATGGAAACATGGAACAGACTGATGAATCTCAGAGGGAAGGGGGGAGGCAGGAGGGTGGGAAGAGATTAACCAAAGATCTTATATGCATACAAGAGGCTCGGCACATCCGTGCACCGGTGTGGTCCCTTGGCCTGGCTCTCGCAATCCGGGACCACTCGGGATGTCGGAGAGCCAGTTTCTGCCCAATCCCTGCAGGCAAGGCTGAGGGACCCCACCGGTGCACGAATCCGTGCACCGGGCCTCAAGTGTATTAATAAAAGCAATAGCCTAATTGGAAAATAAGGCTTTTTTTAAAAAAATATATTTTATTGATTTTCCACAGAGAGGAAGGGAGAGAGATAGAGAGTCAGAAACATAAATCAGCCGCCTCCTGCACATCTCCCACCGGGGACGTGCCCGCAACCAAGGCACATGCCCCTGACCGGAATCGAACCCGGGACCCCTCAGTCCGCAGGCCAACGCTCCATCCACCCAGCCAAACCGGTTTCGGCGGAAAATAAGGCTTTTAATTAACAACATGATTGACTAAGCTGGTCCTTCCTACTACAAACACTTGGAAATGGTAGCCAAAATAGAACAGAACCTTAAAGAAGCAATAGGTGTTCATGGAACACCAAGAAAGAAAGGGATGCCCTGGCCAGTGTTGCTCAGTGGTTGAGCAGTGTCCCATGCTCCAAGAGGTTGCCGGTTCAATTCCCCATCAGGGCACATGCTAGGTTGCAGGCTCAATCCCCAGTAGGGGGCATGTAGGAGGCAGCTGATCAGTGATTCTCTGTCATGTTTGTTTCTCCTTCTCCCTCTCCCTTCCTCTCTCTAAAATAAATAAAAACATATTTTAAAAAAAAAAAAAAAGGAAGAAAGGGAGCTATGTGGGGCCAAAAAAAAAAAAAGCTGAAAGCTGTGCTCCGGTGGCCTGGGGGTCACGTGTCAGATCCAGGAAGAGGGTGGCAGCTCGGGGCCTGGGGGTCACGTGTCAGATCCAGGAAGAGGGTGGCGGCTCGGGTGTTGGCACCACATGGAAGCTTCCAGAGAGAAGGGGGCAGAAAGGGTGACCTCCCCCTGCAGCCCGGCGGAAGGCCAGGCTTAATGTACCAGGGCCTTTGAATGGGGGGAGCCATCAAACCGGAGGCCTGGGCCACAGGTGGATGTACGATGAGATGCCCACTCCTCATGGTGCGGGAACCCCTACGCTGAGAAAATTCCCATTAAAATGGGCCCCAGACCGCAAAGCCACTGCAGAGGGACAGTTCCACAGGCCCCGCTGCTTGTTGGTGAGCACGCCCGGCTGAAGTCGCCCTCAGCGCGCCTGCTAGGCCAGGTCACCGGGTGAAGTGCGACAGAAACTGACATGGCCCTGATAGCATCAGGCTGCGGGCGCACCGAGTGACATCAGTGGACGGCACGTGGCAGAAGATCTGGAGGGCTCTGCAGACTCAAGGAATTAGGGAGCAGTAGGTACAGGGCTGCTCTACGGCCTGCTGGGGCGGGAGCTCAAGGTGACCTTGAAGGACTGCAGCTGCCACCCGGGAAGGAAGAACAAGTGGAGTGGAGTTTTACCGCCCCGCCAGGTGCCGCCATCACGAAGGGAGATGTAAAAGAGACCTCTGGCCCTAGCTGGTGTGGCTCAGTGGCTAGAGCGTCAGCCCTCGGACTGAAGGGTCCCGGGTTCGATTCCGATCAAGGGCACGTACCTCGGTTGCAGGCTCGATCCCAGGTCTGGGTCGGGGCACGTGCAGGAGGCAACCCATCGATGTGTCTCGCTCACATCTATGTTTCTCTCCCTCTCCCCACCCCCCCTTCCATTCTCTCTAAAAATCAGTGGGAAAATATCCTCGGTGAGGAGTAGCAACTAGAAGAGGCATCTGTCCAGCAGCCCGGGGAGAAAGCAGGGAAGCTAACTGTGCGGGGGGGGGACCGTGACCACCAAGCTCTGGGACGTGTTTACATTGCAAATGCCTGTCCGTCATTTGCCTCTCGTCCACCTGCAGCCCAACTGGGCACTAGGATTGACGCTCCAAGCTCCCGAGCAGCCCAGAAAGTGCAGGTCCTGACTCCGAGGAGAGCCCCTTTGTGCCCTAATGTCACTACTGCTTAGGTTCCCAGCACAGATGGGCTCTCTGGACATTTCATATAAATGGAATCATACATTATGTGGCTTTTGTGTCTCATATTTCTTTTTTGCAACAACAAAATAAATTACGTTGGCAGCTAATAAGCCAAAAGAATAATAGATTCTAGACACGTTTGTGGCCTTTTCCTATCCCAACCCTAGTTTTCAACATAGAGTCTAAAAATATAACGGTCTTCGCCAACATTCAAACAGAGTAGCATCCCATTTCCACCTTTAGAGACCTCTGTTCTCTCCCCTGTCAGAATGACATTAATCTCCCTCTTTATTTCACACAAATGGTAACGTGCTGTCCATACTCCTTCGCTGTGCTTTTATTAAAACTTAATTTGCTCCATTGTTTTTTTTGCCGCTGGGTAATATCCATTGTATGTGTACGTTATGATTCCTTTAACCAGTTCTGTTCTTCACTCATAGGTATTGTTTGTACTGTCATGTGTCGCTTAACGATGGGAATATGTTCTGAGAAATGCGTCATTAGGCAATTCCGTTGTGTGAACGTCGCAGAGTGCACTTTGCACAAACCTAGATGGTATAGCTTACTGCACACCTAGGTGACATGGTGTGACCTGTTGCTCCTAGGCTACAAGCCTGTACGGCATGTCAATATACTTGAATGCTGTAGGCAATTGTAACACAATGGTAAGAAAAGGCACAGTAAAAATACAGCATGAAAGATACAAATGGTGCACCTGTATGGGGCACTTCCCATGATGCAGCTTGCAGGACCGGAAGCCGCTCTGGGTGACTCAGTGAGTGAGGGTTAGTGCATGAGAAGGCCTAGGACCCCACTGTACACTGCTGTAGTCCACGGTACATTTAAATATATTTTTAACATGTCTTCGATCATAAATTAATCTTAGCTTACTGTAATTTTTTATAAACTTTAAAATTCTTTTTTAACTCCTTTGTAATAACACTTAGCTTAAAACAAACACATTATACAAAAATATAGGGTGTCTCAAAGAATGTATACACACACTTTGAATAATTATAAAGGCAGTGTTTATTAAAAATACATTTCATTGTCAAAATTGAACTACCTGCTGTTAAAGTTTGTATACATTTTTGGGAGATACCCTGTATTTTTTTACATCCTTATTTTTATAAGGCTTTTACTATTTAAAAACATTTTTTTTTACTTTAAACTTTTTTGTTGGAAACTAAGACAACACACCGACCTTATTAGCCTAGGCCTGCACAGGATCAGGATCATCAATATCACTGTCTTCCACTCCACATATTTTTTTAAAATATATTTTTATTGATTTCAGAGAAGAAGGGAGAGGGAGAGAGAGATAGAAACATCCATGATGAGAGAGAATCATGGATCAGCTGCCTCCTGCATGTCCCCTACTTGGGTTCCAGCCCGCAATCCCGGCATGTGACCTGACCGGGAATCAAACCGTGACTTCCTGGTTCATAGGTCGACGCTGAACCACTGAGCCGCGCCGGCCAGGCCCACCTCCACATCTTGTCCCACTGGAAGATCTTCATCTCCTGTGACGACAGTGCCTTCTGGAACCTGCCTGAGGCGCTTCTTGAGGAGGAGTGGGGGGTGGTTTGCTTGGCTGGCTTCTCTTTTTCATCAGAGACTTGCTGGTGAGCACATACAACGGCGTGAACCTTCCTCTGTCAGTGAAAACCTTTTCACGTTGGGTCGCTGTGGATAAGGTCAAGTGCCCTTTCAGGCGTGTTTATTTTCCATGAAGGTCTGTTCCTACCTGTCACCGATTGTCCTGTTGGCTGGAGGCCTTTTAGTTTGGATTGTAAGGAGTGGCGCTCAGGGAGAGGTCATGCCTTTGTTTCTTGTGTGCTTGGTTGGGGGGGGGGGCTGTATTTCCCCAAGTTTTTCATTTCTCCCCTTTGTGTATTTTTATTCTCTGCAGGGCTTTTCAAACATTCTTATGTAGTCCTATCTATCTCTTCTTCAATGATGGCTCCTGGGTTTCTGAAGGATTCGCCCTCTCGCAACATTTTTCTTCTCCCATGATTTTGTTTATTTTAAGGTTTTTTTTCTTTTTTATTGAATTTATTGGGGTGACATTGGTTAATAAAATTATATAGGTTTCAGGTGTACAGTTCTATACGCCATCATCTGTGTATATTGTATTGTGTGTTCAGCGCCTGAAGTCATTCTTTTCTTTTTTAATGTTCCCATTTTCTTTGACCTGAAAACTGTTTTTGGAATAAAGAGTGAGATAAGAATCCAACTCTCTTTTCCCCTCAGCCATCTAGTTGTTCTAAAACTACTGATTAAATAATCCAACTCCCCCTTATTGACATGAAACACCGTCTTTTATGGCAAGTTGCCCTGTCAACTCCTGCTTTAAAAAGGGCAGAATCAGCCCGAGCCGGTTTGGCTCAGTGGATAGAGCGTCAGCCTGTGGACTGAAGGGTTCCAGGTTCGATTCTGGTCAAGGGCAATCCCCGGCCCTAGTCGGGGCGCATGTCAGAGGCAACCAATCAATGTGTCTCTCTCACATCGATGTTTCTGTGTCTGTCTCTACCTCTCCCTTCCTCTCTCTCTCTCTCTCAAAAAAAAAAATAATAAAATCTAAAGGGCAGAATCAGCTGTCAGAGGTAGGGGCAGGCATTGAAAAGCTGTTTGCTCACAGCCCCTGCAGCCCCACCCCTGCTCCCTCTGCCAGGAAAGTCAGAGGTTGGTAGGGCTGTGCCTTTAGAGGTGTTTGCCACTTCTTTTCCCTTTCCCTAGTTTCTGCTACACGTTATCATCCTCATGTTCTGGAATCAGCTGTTTCCCCACGGACAGAACAGCCTCGCAGGTAACATATGATCTGTGCAGTTTACATTACCTGTGGCTTCTTTACTTGATGCAAAAAGTCATATTTTCCAAGGAACATATACTGAGTGGCCAGATTATTATGACCGCCCCATCAGTACTTCATTGACACTTGCAAAAATACTGAATATTGAAAACTTCCTAAGCAAATACTCTCAAGGTTTTATTATTATTATTATTTGCATAACTAATTCACTTCATTGTACTGATGGGATGGTCATAATAATCTGGCCACTCATATAATCTGGCCAGTCAGTGTAACCTGCTGCCTTAGAAAAAGCTTCGAGGCTTGACTCGTTCCCAGTCAAAAGTACTTAATGTCGCCACAAGAGGTCGCTCCTGGGTAGTTTTCGAAGCTTGAGTGGGTTGACAGCTAAGAACAAATAAACCTTAGAAGGAAACACACCTGCCACTGTTGAGATAGTCAATATTAACTGAAACTGGTACGTGAAGATGGTGAAACAAAGCGGTTCAGATTTAATTAAACAAATATTTTATTGACTTCAGAAAAGAGGGGAGAGGGAGGGAGGGGGAGAGAGAGAGAGAGAGAGAGAGAGAGAGAGAGAGAAAGAAACAACAATGATGAGAGTGAATCATAGATCGGCTGCCTCCTGCATGCCTCCTACTGGGGATCAAGCCCACAACCCGGGCATGTGCCCTGACCGGGAATTGAACCATGACCACTGAGCCACGCCGGTTGGGCCAGATTTCCAAGTGATACATTTCTCAACATTATTTGTTAGGATTATATATTAAGTCTCAGTTACCTACATGCAAAGGAAGAGTTGTGAGCCTTTTAGGAATAGGAATGTTCTAGCGACTCGGGCTTTTTGCAGGGATATTTTCCTTTATTTCCTGCTTCTGGCATTAGCATTGGGTACCTGAAATGGTTGGGGTTCCCCACTCATGTCCCGTGTTCACCCCCATCCCTACAAAGCCACATAGCTCAGCTTCTTCCCTACCCCCACCTCTGGGTCTCCCCACTGGTCTGCTTGTTCACAGGGTAGGAGAGCAGGATCACCTGGCAGAGGTGTGAATGCAGGTTAAACTTGGACTTCATAGCCACAGGGGCATAGCCTTAGGCCAAGAGAGTAGAGATGGGCTGTGGCCCAGGGCCTTGCCCTATGGAGGTCTTCCTGGTCCTTACAAATAAACCAACACTGGAATCTCTATGCACATTGTATACTAGAGGCCCGGTGCACAAAATTCGTGCAAGGGGTTTGGCCCTCACAGCCACAGCCACGGCGGCTTGCCTCCGTTGTTCGGCTGTCCGGTCTAATTAGCATATTATGCTTTTATTATTATAGATAAGGAGTTCATGAGTCTTTTCTTGGGAAAATCTGTCTTGTTTTCTGAGAAACTAGCTTTCTTGAATTAGAGTTTAAATGGTTCCTCTTTTATGAAATTGGCATAGAGATAGTAGTATATGTTTTAAAGCGATTATGGGGCCAAATCTTTGTCAATATTCAAAAGTAATTTTTTTGCTCAATTCAATCCTTCAATTCGGGAACCAGTGGTAAATAGATTTTGAAATGAAGGGTGGAGCTAGTGCAGCTCGGTTTGGGTTGGAGGCGGAAGGATGCATGTTTTAAAGGTAGAAAGCACGTGGGCCTCATCATGGTAACGCTTCCCTCTGCTTTGTGGACCTTGGAGATCCGAAGTGGGTGTCCTCTCTTAGCTAATCTAACGGTCTTTGGATTTAACTGGAAAGTTTGGGCCTTTGTCTGTACCGATTACTGGCATTTTCATTCGTGGCCACCATCTTTTGTGCTTTAAAGTTGTTGTCCACTGTAGTCTCCCACCCCTCCCAAATTAGACATTATCATTGTGGTTTTATACAACCAACATTTACTTAGATCTGTCCACATATTGACTGCTGCCTTTGCTTACCTCTCCCCGCCCCATGGCATCTCAATGCACCTGTTACCATTTTCCTTTCCCTTGGAGTGCTACCCCAAAGTCTCACTTTGAATAAATTCTCCACTAGAGGGTTTTCATCGTACACAACATGGGGGTTTGGACGGATAACCCGCAGGAGCGCCTACGTGGAGTTTGACACACGCATCCTCCCTGTCCGCACCTGGGCAGCAGGTTTACCTTTGCTCCCTACTCTGAAGAGCTAACCGCCATCATCCCTGGGTTATATAGAGTCTCCCATGATGCCGTCCTCTCAGCTGAGCCCGAGGCTTTCTCTCACACCCCCTATCTCCTCCAAGATCATTTAAGGTTCCATAGACACCCTCAGGGCAGGAACTTAGCTGCATACCAGCCTCTCAGGATCCCCTACTTTTCCAGTCTCTGCTTCTGCGGATCCCCACTGCTCTTCCAGCTCCGCGATGCATTGACAAAGACATTCCCCTTTGCCGTCTCCATTGTAGCCGCTTCCATCATGGACCAAAGGTGGCCTTGCCTTAGGTCTCATTTTCATTTCTGTCTTTGCTTGAGGTAACACATGTCACTGCGAATGTCAGTGTAGAAGCACCATTCAGATCGGAAAAAGGTGGCTGTTGTCTTTGATCAGGTTGGAAGCTGGTAAAATACTGGCCAAATAATGACCCAATGTGCAAATGGCAGTTTCCGGTGAACTGGCTTCAGCTTGTGCCTGTGATTTTAAAGACTACCAGGCAAGCACTTTCCTCCCAGGAGCACGCCCGTGCCTCGCCCCCCCTTCCTCCTCCCCTCTTTCCCCACAGGAACTCATCTCCTAAACTCTAAGGGACCCTGAGGGCTTACAACCAGGGCAGCAGTGGGCAGCAGCAGCTTGTCCCAGGCTCACCCCTCAACCTGTCCCCAAGGCTCCCTTTTCTCTGACCTCTTAGTGAGCCACAGCAGCCCAGCCTCAGCTCATTTCTTCAAATAGTCCCTCTCCTGTTATCCTAGGTCAGTGGTCGGCAAACCGCGGCTCACGAGCCACATGCGGCTCTTTGGCCCCTTGAGTGTGGCTCTTCCACAAAATACTGACTTCTGCGCATGGGCCACGAAGTTTCAATCACACTGTACGTGCGCGCCCGCACATGGTATTTTGTGGAAGAGTCACACTCAAGGGGCCGAAGAGCCGCATGTGGCTCGCGAGCCTCAGTTTGCCGACCACAGCCCTAAGCCCTTCCTTGCTTTACTGTCCCTAGCTTCCATAAAAATCCCTTTTAAAAAGCAGCTACTGTGCAACACCAACAAATTGAATACCAGTTTCTCATCCAGTAGCTTTATCCAGTGGTCACGGCCCCCTGACATTCGTCCCCAGCTGCCACAAAGGGTGGGCCATGTCCCTAGCACATTTCCCCCAGGAGTGGCTCAGGAATAGCCCAGGCCAGGCGTGGCCTTTACAAGTGAGACCTGATTCGTTCATTACCTTGAGTGCGGTTGGGTAGGACCTTCCTAACACAACTGGAGAGAACAAGATGTTTCGATGGACCGTGTTTAACAAGTCCTTTTGCATCTGCACAGGGTCACGTCGATAGCGGACAGGCTGAATGTGGAATTTGCCTTGATCCACAAGGAGAGGAAGAAGGCGAACGAAGTGGACCGGATGGTGCTGGTGGGCGACGTGAAGAACCGCGTGGCCATCCTCGTGGATGACATGGCCGACACGTGTGGCACCATCTGCCACGCTGCTGACAAGTACGAGGGGCAGTTTGGGAAAGTGTTAGGCGATCTCATTAAGAAGGGAAACATTTCAGCTTTAAAAAATCGGGCCTGTTTTTCTTTTTTTAAACACACTTTTTGCTTTTAAATTCACACTAAGAAGAGACTGTTTGTTTATTTTGCGGTTTTGTTTTGTTTGTTTTTTTGTCTTCCGTTTTATAGGCTGATCTCGGCCGGAGCCACCAAAGTTTATGCCATCCTTACCCATGGGATCTTCTCTGGGCCGGCTATTTCCAGAATAAACAGTGCTCCCTTTGAGGCCGTTGTTGTCACAAACACAATCCCGCAAGAGGACAAAATGAGTCACTGCTCCAAGATCCAGGTACTGTCTACACTGCAGGCGGAGCCAGGCAGCGAGGCTCCTACCTTAGATCCCGAAAAGCAGCATCGAGTCTTCTGGGTGTGACTGCTCCCTGAGGCCACTGTCCACAGCGGTCGCAGCTTCTCCCGTGGGAGGGCCTCATGCATGTTAGGTCTCTGAGAAAGGCTGGGGCTGGCAGAGGTCAAAGTCGGAAATAGTAAGTGAATAAAACCACAACAGAAAAACAGGAGGGCCCAGCCGGTGTGGCTCAGTGGTTGAGTGTCGACCTCTGAACCAGGAGGTCACAGTGTGATTCCTGATCAGGGCACATGTCCGGGTTGCAGGCTCCATCCCCAGTGTGGGGCATGCAGGAGGCAGCCGATCCATGATTCTCTCTCATCATTGATGTTTCCATCTCTCCCTCTCCCTCTCTGAAATCAGTAAAAATAAATGTAAAGAAAAAAGAAAAACAGTAGAAAACAGGCTGTGCTGAAGCTAAACAGAATTAACATATGGCCCAACAAGTCCACCTGATGAGCCACAGTTGAGAGTCTGCAAGCAATGGCCCACGGGTCCAATCCGGCCCACCATCTGCTTTTGTAAATAAAGTTTTATTAGAACATGCCCGTTCATTTATATATTGGCTATGGCTGTTCTCACACTACAACAACTGAGTTGAGTCTGGCCTACAAAGTAGGAAATATTTATTACCGAGCCCTTTACAGAAAAAGCAGTTGTTGACTGGTCCTTGAGTTAGAATCATGATAGCTGTGCTCTTAAGTTATACAGTCACTGCATTTTCTGAAACCAAGAGAAGAAACCTTCCATATAATCGAATAAAATCAATTATATTGAAAAACAACAAACGGTTCCCGCCGGTTTGGCTCAGTGGCTAGAGCGTCGGCCTGCGGACTGAAGGGTCCTGGGTTTGATTCTGGTCAAGGGCACATGCCTGAGTTGCAGGCCCGATCCCCAGTGTGGGGTGTGCAGGAGGCAGCCGATCAATGATTCTCTCATCATTGATGTTTCTCTCTCTCTCTCCCGCTCCCTTCCTCTCTGAAATCAATAAAAATCTATAAATAAACAAACACCCGAGAAAAGGATGTTTCTGGTTAGCCACAGTCCTGAAAAGCTTTTGAGTATCTGCCCTGAACGTCTTGCTTCCATAGAGCAGTGGTTCTCAACCTTCCTATGCCGCGACCCTTTAATACAGTTCATGTTGTGGTGACCCCCAGCCATAAAATTATTTTTGTTGCTACTTCATGACTGTAATTTTGCTACTGTTATGAATCGTAATGTAAATATTTAATATGCAGGATGTATTTTCATGGTTACCCATTGAACATAATGAAAGCATAGTGATTCATCACAAAAACAATATGTAATTATAGATGTGTTTTCCGATGGTCTTAGGCGACCCCTGTGAAAGGGTTGTTTGACCCCCAAAGGGGTTGCGACCCACAGGTTGAGAACCGCTGCCATAGGGTTTGGTGTAACAGGTTGTAAATTTGGAGACTGGCCCGACGCCGTCTGTCCTCTCAACAGTAGGTGTGGGAGGTCTTGATTGAGCTCATCTCCCAGGTGGAGAAATACTGTAGGTTTTTGGGCTTTTATGTCTGTAATGAAATCTGATGCCTCGCTTTCCCGGCCCCTTCTCTGTTTTTGGCCTTTAGGTTATTGACATTTCGATGATCTTGGCCGAGGCGATCCGCAGGACCCACAACGGTGAATCCGTGTCCTACCTGTTCAGCCACGTGCCGCTGTGAATCCAGACGGGAGCGCGGAGCGAGCCTGCTGGCTTCTGACTAGTGTGTTTTTACCTGATTCTTAGCTTTAGGACTCAGCAGTTAGAACGCAAGACATCAGATCGTGTGCCCTCCAACACCCACTGTTTCTTCCTTTGCACCTCGAGACCGTTTCTTTCTAGTTTGGGGTGAGGGCGGGTTATTGATCTGTGCACTGTCATAAATCAGAAATATTCCTGTCATCCTGACTTGTTCTCACAGGTGACGTTCCCCTTTGTCCTGTCAACATTTTGAGGCCACAACTTTCAGGTATATAATTCCAACATGTGGAAGTTCATAATGTATATATTTCAGGGTTGCCAACGATGACGTTAGGATAAAGACTTCCCTGCAGGCACACAATGATAATACTTATGGACATTCGGGTGTAGGATGAGCCCTCTTAAGAACACTTTAGAAAATTTATAATACCGTGATTTTTTGGTTTATTATTGTGCTTAATTGGGACCAAATTTTATGTCGTGTAAGACGGCCAGTCACTGTTACCACTTCTGAAAAACATGTAACGGTCACATTCTAGAAATGTCATGTTCTCAGATTCCATAATGATGCTCAGTGAGACATCGGATTTAGAACCCGTTTATGAGAGAGTGTCCATGCTCACGGTCACAGCACGCTTGCCTCTGTCCTTCCTAGATGGACAGTTCTTTGGGCATCTCTTGTCCCGTCGTCTTGCTGTCTTAGGTGACCTTTGTAGCTCTAGCTTTTAGTGTGCCTTTTCCCCCAATAATTTCATGGTGTGGATTTCCACCAAAATGAAACCGTGTCAGCCCCTTCCACTTGACTAATCGGATCATCATTTTGCTTTTGACGTCAATAAAAAGGTGGATTTGGGCGAGTTACACCGAATGCGTATTTCCACGTCATTCGTTTTGATTTTGAACGTGCTTTTGTTTTTCCTAGTCAGAAGCAGCAAGTCTAGGCAACTGATTATTTCAACTAAAGCCACTACCTGAAAAATGGGGGGCAAGATGGGCCCACGCAAAAGGTACCAATAAGCAAGCATTAGTTCCTGCATTGAAATGATATTCAAATGGGGGCCCAGCAGTGGTGGCGGGGGGAAGATTGCTTGCTCCCCAAGATGGGCCCTTTATGACATCCTCCTACGTGAGGCGTCTCCCTGACTCTGCAGAAGGCATGCTTGCCTCTTGGGGAATTTCATTGCGTGCACATCGGGGTGCAATCACCCGAATCCTCCAGCCCCACAAGAGGAGAACTTGCCCGCGTAGAATCTTAAGCAGCAGTCTCCCCCCTTCCTCTGCTGAATCTTAAAACTGGGAGATCAGAATCAAGTCTTTCAATTCTGCGGGTGCAAAAGGGGAATCTATTGAAGCCATTAACCAGTAAAGCAGCCTTTAAGGTCTCGAGCCTCATTGCAGCAGAGGTGAGGCGGAATGGAGGTGAAAGAGTAGCATTTTGGTCATCGCAGAAACTAGCATTTGTCGCACCTTTAAATGGTTTTGGAGGGGCAATGACATAGCCCGGGAAAGCCAGCTGTATACTACAGATGGCTGCATCTAAAAAGAGCCAACTTGAAATATGTAAAGAGTTTATTTAGATGATGTGTAGTTTTGATTTTTCATAAATGAGTGATATCTGTATTTCTTGGAATCTACGCATAGAGAAGTGAAAATGTAGTTATGAACACGCATACGCATACTTAGACAGCTTGGCATACGAGTGTGGACATGTTGCCATGGCTACAGCCAGTTGATTTGAAGGTAATCATCTTATCTAACGTTGATAGTAACATAGAGTTAATTTTCCAATAATGATCTGCAGATTAAAACATGATAGAAAATCGGTTGTAATTCTCTGAATTAGGAACCGAGTGTGTGTGACATGCTCCAGCACCACGGGTGTGTTTGGGAGTGCTTCTAATACATTGACTAACTCTTTAGACTAGACTAGGCCGCACACAGTGGCGGTGTGGAGATGAGCTATTTGGTTTCAGTTCAGCCCAGCACTCGCTTTTATTGCTGCTGATGCAGAAGCACTTAAGTGAGAACGCTGGGGATGTGAGTCCTGCCCAGCCCTGCGAAAGTGGGGGCTGATGTGGTGTACATCTAGCCAAAAAGGGGAGCCGAGAACTGTGGACATATCAGAATCGCTCAGCCTCCAACTTTATCTATATTCATACGCTAACTCATAGGCTAACTGTCTTTTGTTAGGGGAGATGTCGGCTAGATTGGGAACATACCACTTGCAGTGCTTGTATTGGTTTAGAACATGAGATTGTAAGCTCTTCCAACGCTGTGCTAAAACATTTCAATAAAGTCATGCTGCTGCTTTCCTTCATGGCGTGTGTCATTGTGGGGTATGTGTTTGGGCGGAGTGATGAGTTCTCTGCGGCACCTGAAAATGTGTGTGCTACTTCCCGACTGTTGGCCGCCACAGCAAAGGACAGAAAAGCCAGAAGTGTTTTGAAGTCAGCTCTTTTCCATTTGGATGGTATTTCTGAAGGACGGATTTGCAGTCTCCTTCCCCCAAGTATACAGCTGTGTCGCGTAAGGCGTCCAAGTTGGTCGTTCTAGATCAGTGGTTCTCAACCTTCTGGCCCTTTAAATACAGTTCCTCATGTTGTGACCCAGCCCTAAAATTATTTTCGTTGCTACTTCATAACTGTCATGTTGCTACTGCTATGAATCGTCATGTAAATATCTGATATGCAGGATGGTCTTAGGCGACTCCTGTGAAAGGGTCATTCCACTGCCAAAGGGGTCGCAACCCACAGGTTGAGAACCGCTGTTCTAGATGTTTCCTGTAAAATTGTAGATCACACAGTGTGTTTACGCAGCAAAGGAGTAATACTCAGGATCCAGAGGTAGAGCAGACCAGACCTAAGCGTAGGCCCCTAGAGGTTTTGCGCGTGCTTTGATTTCCGAAGTGCCAGGAAGTTTCCTGCTCCCTAAAAACAACTGTTCACTGATGCTTTAAGTTACCCCCATGGGGACAAAGTAAATTTATAATTACGTTTGCCCAGTAACACTCAGTGTGGCTAACGGAGCGTGGCAACCTTTTGTCTTAAAGTCCCAGTGAAATATAAAGAACTAAAACCAGGTTGATTGAGGCAGATCTTTTTAAGAGAGAATGTGATAGAATGTACTAGAAGGGAGGGAGAACATGAAGGAGTATTGGAAACACCAAAAGCACTTCACTTCCACCTAGCAAGGCTGTCATACCTCTGGGAGTGTTCCGCTGCTTGTGACAGGTCTCACCCAAGCGGACAATTTGCATATTAACTTTTTATATAGATAGATATAACACAGGCGTGTTGAAATGTTGGCCTGACCTGGGCCCTGGTTGGGGCTCGTGCAGGAGGCAACCAATCGATGTGTTTCTCTCACATCAATATTTCTCTCATCTTTCCCTCTCTCTTCCACTCTCTAAAAATCAATGGAAAAATATCCTCGGGTGAGGATTACCAAAAAAAAAGAAAAAGGTCATAGGCTCCCAAACACCCCCACTGGGGCACCAGACATGTGAACAAAGCCATCTGACTTCAACCTCATGAGACCCCCCCAACTGAGACCAACAGAAGAACAGCCCAGCAGAGCCCCGCCAACCCACAGAGGGGTGGACACATAAAATGGTAGCTGTGTAAGCCGACAAGTTTCGCAGTGGCTTGTTACCCAGCGATAGATAATTGAAACATGACAGCATCTAATATGAATAGTTGCATCAAATATGGAAAATAAATCTTTCGAATCACAAACTCCAAAAAGCCTTTTTGTTATTTTCTAGTTCAGTGGCCGAGGACCTGGCAGATTAGATGACTTGCAGAAAGAACATGGGCAGTGGAGTCAAAAACACATGAACTGTAACCAGTTTTGCATATTACTAGATCTATGAGTTCTTAGAATATCAGCTTCCTTGTGGGCAAATCTGGCTTCCACACCAGCTCCCACACAGGTGGTTTTTTTTGTTTTGTTTTAAATATTTTATTGATTTTTTACAGAGAGGAAGGGAGAGGGATAGAGAGCTAGAAACATCGATGAGAGAGAAACATCGATCAGCTGCCTCCTGCACACCTCCTACTGGGGATGTGCCCGCAACCAAGGTACATGCCCTTGACCGGAATCGAACCTGGGACTCTTCAGTCCGCAGGCCGACACTCTATCCACTGAGCCAAACCGGCTAAGGCTCCCACACAGGTGTTTTATTCTCCAGCTTTGTGAGTGATGGCGCTTCTAACGCAATGGAATCATGAATAGAATGAAGGAATGCACAGGTGTGAGTTACCATTTTTACTAGGAAGTCACGTCTCTCAGACACAAGTGGCTGTTCTTTCCACTCTACCTGACTCCTAATGAAGTTACTTCACGGGTCTACGCAGGCCACGTGGCCAGACAGACTCTCTGTAATGCCCACCTGGCAAAACTGCTTCGGATTATTCAAGGCAGCAGGCCTACTGTTGGAGCCCATTGCAACCATAAATAGCCTTTTCTCTTTTTAAGCAAGTCATCTCCTCCGTTATTTGCATCGGGGGCTTTTTTCTTTCAAAGCATCTGACCCTTAGGACTCTTCAGGAGAACTCAGACTCACGTGGGACCAGTCCTCAATAGGAAAGAAGATTTTTGTCACGCGAATTTGCATATCCTGTCAAGGACACCTTCAGAATACTTTCATTTCAAGGTAAAATGAAACTTACAGCCCTGAGCAGAGAGGTGCTTCACAATTCACTTTAAAAGGGGGCATGAGAAACAAAAGACAAGGTGAGCCCTGGCCGGGTTGCTCAGTGGTTGAGAGTATTGGCCTACAGACTGAAGGGTCCCAGGTTCGATTCCAGTCAAGGCCACATGCTTGGGTCGCAGGTTCCATCTCTGGCCCGGGTTAGGGTGCGTGCAGGAGGCAACCAATCAATGTGTCTGTCTCACGTGGATATTTCTCTCTCTATCTCTTTCCCCCTCCCTTCCACTCTCTCTAAAAATCAATTGGGGGTGGGGGGGAATATCCTTGAGTGAGGATTAACAACAAAAATTCTCAAAAGACAAGGTAAGAACATGCTCCATACAAAGGAACTATGTAGCCTGTGTTGTGTGTCCACGTGTCATTTACAAAGCGCAGACTCATGGTATCTGCAAATTTCTAATAAAGAATATGATTTGTTCCAACTAAAAGGGTTAAAGCTGCAGCCTTGTTATAAAAAATGCCATTAAAGTCCTCTCGCCTTTTCGTGAAGCAGCCCCTGACTTTCAGGATCTAAGAGTGGAAACAGGCAGCAGGAATTGGGGAGCCGATGGGGTTAATACCTACTTCTCATGCTCACCCAAATCAAGCAACTCGCATAGAGAAACAATAACCCGAATTATTCTTCCCCAAGCCAGAAGCGTGGCATTGGGCGGACCAGCGCAATTTGCTTAAGCCTTAAGGCAGGGGTCCTCAAACTAAGGCCCGAGGGCCACATGCAAATACAAATATTGTATTTGTTCCCGTTTTGTTTTTTTACTTCAAAATAAGATATGTGCAGTGTGCATAGGAATTTGTTCATAGTTTTTTTTAAAACTATAGTCCGGCCCTCCAACGGTCTGAAGGACAGTGAACTGGCCCCCTGTTTAAAAAGTTTGAGGACCCCTGCCTTAAGGGATTTATTTAGGTTCCCATCAGCTGGAGGCAAGTATGTACCAGGAAGTGGTTCTACTGAACCACTTTGCTGTCTATGCTGGAGGCAAAGGGCAGAGATGGGACTCAACCTTGGGCTTCTGTCCCCCGCTGTGGACTTGTTCAACCACCACTGTGGATGCTGGCTCAAGTCTTGCTTTCTTTTTAATTTCAGAGACTTAATCCCAGGAGTCCTTCAAAGTTTAAATCTCCAGATTAACACGACACTAAACTAGGGCTGCCAGATTAAATATAGGAAGCCCAATTAAATTTGAATTTTTGTTGTTGTTAATCCTCACCCGAGGATAATTTTCCATTGATTTTTCAAGGGAGATTGGAAGAGAGAGGGAAAGACAGAGAGAAACATTGACGTGAGAGAGACACATCAATTGGTTGCCTCCTGCAGAATCAAACCCAGGACCTTTGGTCTGCAGGCCGAGGCTCTATCCTCTGAGCCAAGCCAGCTGGGACTAAATTTGAATCTAGATAAACAGCCAATTAGTTGTTAGTATGAGCATGTCCCAATTTGCCAAATTTAGCAACCCTACACTAAACCTTACCTACCCACCTAGGGCGGTTCCTGATCCACCAAAAAGAAAAAAACAAAACGCAAGGAGACTCAGAAAGCCAAGCACGAGGCAGCCCAGCCAATGAGAGGCCCGCTTTCATAAGGCACATAGCAGACCTCCGGCTCTGCAGCCAATGATTGCTCTAAGCTAACTAGCCTGCAGGAGACTGGGCCCAGGATGCGGCCATCTTCGGGGCCATCAACTAACTCTTCAGCAGAAGGTCTTGCACGGGTTCAAGGTTAGTCATTGCACTGCTGCTTGTAATACCAAAGATCTGAAACAGCCCAGCTGCCCAGCAATAGAGGGATGCTTCCGCAAAGTGTGGATTATCCAGACAGTGAAGGCATTGTAGCTGTGAGAAAAGAGGAGGATGCTCCTATAGAAGGTATGGAAGGAACTCCACAAGAAACGACAAGTGAGGAACAAAGTAGGGGGAGAAGAGGGGGGGGAAGGATTAAAAAAACCTCTGGAAAGACAAATAAGGAACAGATAACACTGGTTTCTCGTGGGCATGGGGCAGGGGTGGAATTGGAAAAATGGCCCATGACGAGATGACGATTTGTTCATTCTGTGTCCATCTACGCATGCGCGTGTGTCTATATCTGAGCAGACGAGTTCACAGCAGGCCTAAGGCTGCTGTCATTAGAAAGGGCTGGAGCCAAGGCTGGCCTTGGACTGGCTGCTGGGAACTTGGATTCCTCGTAGGGCCTCCCTATTCCCAGAGCTGGGAAGAGAGTGGCTCGCTGTGGCTAAAATGTGTTTGCAAACGGTGTGACTTATACCCGACACCTGCTTTCCTCCCGGGGTCTGGGATCTGGGTGCGAGTCAGGCAGAGGATGCCCACGTGACCAGCCCCACTGAAAACCCTGGGTGCCGAGTCTCTCATGAGCTGCCCCGGAAGGCAGCATGTCCTGTGTGTTTTCTCAGCTGGGGCTGGGCATTGAGTGCACCCTGAGCTCGTCCTTGGCTCCCTCCATCGTTGCGCCACGTACGTTTCCCGGGTACTCATTTTGGGTTGTATCTTTTCACTGTAATGAATCATAGCTATGTCTCCCTAGTGAATCACTAAATGAGGGATGCTCTGGGGTACCCCTGACAGCTATCTAGCATCTATTATCCTATATAATA